TTTTATTCAACCCGTTTTATTTAAGCCGGCCTTTACAACTATATTTTGTTGTATGGGTGTGCTAAGAACGGGCATATTATCTTCAGTTTGTGTGTATGGAAATTTTCTACTTGTGAATTTTTCTAAAGAAATAACTGAAACAGTGACACATGTAAATTAGTATATTTGATTCTTAGCCAAATCTTTTATTCAACCCGTTTTATTTAAGCCGGCCTTTACAACTATATTTTGTTGTATGGGTGTGCTAAGAACGGGCATATTATCTTCAGTTTGTGTGTATGGACATTTTCTACTTGTGAATTTTTCTAAAGAAATAACTGAAACAGTAATTTTAGTTTTTTTATTAAATACCCAATCAGATTATATATTTACCCTTATTGTTAAAGCTAGCTGGCTCATATAGCTTTATATTGTTAAGACCTAAAGACTATTTATTTTTGGTTTATTTTTATAGCATTTTTTCTGAAAATATTATTATTTGAATTTTTTATCATAATTCCGAACTAAGCTGATTTTTCTCATTTTGTATAAATATTTGTAAATTGATATTTTATGTAATGGGTGGATGTATTCAGAACAGATTTTGTATGTCAAGCTTATGTATACAAAAATATTTTGTTCACACATAATTCTAACCAAAAATATAGTTTGTGCTAAATATTTAATAAAAATACCTCATAAAATATCTTACATATGTTTAATATTAACAATATTTTTTGTTGTTTTTTGAAGTTGTTTATCATGATGGTAAAGAAGCAAACAAAGGTCATTACTTCGCTGATGTATTCTATGTGGCACTTGGTAGATGGTTACGATTTGATGATGCGTCTGTACGTTTTGTCACTGACAAAGAAGTTTGTCAACCGAAACCCCCATGTATGCCATATTTGCTGTACTACAGAAGAAATGACACAATTGCTGCACTCTCAGCATTTGATAATAAAGGCAGATAGTTCTTTATTTTTAGACATTTTGGTATGTATTTTGCCATGCCTGGGCTACTTGTGCAAATTGCATAAATATTTTTTTAAAACATAATTTTTTTTTATTACTATTATTTATGTTAATTTATTATTTTTTTAGATGTATAGTTATCAAAATGAAAACCCCTTAGTGAGATACATAATATTTCTTATGGATAGATATTTATACTTAGTTGGCCTTCATAGACATTGGGGGTTTTTTCTTTTTTCTCTATGTTGAAGCATATTAACACAGGGTTACTTTAAATAAAAATGTTTTTATTATTATTATTATTATTTATTAAAATATAAATAATAATAATAGTTGTATTGTCAAATGACAATTTTGTTAGTTTTTCTCTTAAAAAATACTGTCATTTTTTTTTTTTTAAGGCGTATTTAAAACGTGTTAATGGTTAAGTGAAGTATAGTTGTTTTTGCCTATTTGTGCAAGGCGTTTGTAACATATTATAAATATAAATCATACGAGACTAAAATTACTATTTTTTATTAACTCAATTATTTGTTAATATGAATAAATTTTTTAATTACATATATTTTTCTTTGTAAAGTATTAAATTATGTTTGTGTATATAAATAATTAATTGTAATGTAAAGTATCTTAAAGATTATTGAGTCATAGTTGATTTTTTTAATAATTAAAGAGAAATTAATGTGTTTAATGATAATAACTAAGTGAATACTGAAACCCGATAGAAATATTGATAATATTTTTCAAAAATCATTGGCCTATTTTATATACAACATATATTATAAACAATATGTGTATGTGTGTGTGTGTCTATATATTTATACGTCATTTCTTTTGTTTTTTATTCATATGCTTCTAAAACCATTTTAAATAGTTCAAATTATTTTAATTGCTTTTTACTATTATGTTTATATATTACTTTCGGAAACTAATGTTTTGAATTTATAAAAATAGAATTGTAATTATGATCTACTCATGTAAACGTCATTTATATATTTTTTTTTTTCTTGATTACAGTTTTAAACTGTTTAATGGGTTTAATTTATGTTTCTTTTTTTATTATTATATTATACTTTATGTAATTACACACAAACTCAATGGTCATCTGTAAAATATAAGTGTCTTAAAAAAATGTAAACTGGGACTATTGAGGGGAAATAAGAACTAACCAAACATGTCTCATTAAATTATATAATTTATACTTTATTTAGTCACGACTGCAACTTTTATAACAAATTGTGAGCATAATATTAAATATATGCTTTATAAATTATTATGTTAACATTCAACTGTTGATAATTTTTTAAAGCAAAATCTCCTTTTTCCTACAAATTATATCATATGTATTATCATTGAGTATATATTATAATACTATATATACTCATGGTATTATAATATACTCAGTGCCAAAACTATTATTATTTTTTTAGCTTTTGAGACTTATCCTCAAAAATTTATTTTATAAAATTTGTATCTTTTTTTTATTTTAGTGTATGAAGCAGCTGCCTATACTGGACAGGCATAAGATATCAAATAACTAATTATTGATGTGTATAGAAAGAGTGACTATTTAATTTGGAGTGTTCATTGAAAATTGACTGAGAGGTAGAGCATTTTCATTCTGGCATAGCTCAATGTGAGTTTTTTATTTATGTGGATGTCTCATGTTCTAAGGTATTTTACCAAGTCCCCTTTTCTGTTTCACTGTATGGCCTGGTTTTAGAGTCTTTGTATATTTTTAAAGGTGAATAATTCAGCTGCGCTTTTAGTATTGTTTGTTTAAGTTCAGCTTCCATTTTTGGAACCAAGAGGTGTTTTCATTCAATAAAGATTGAAGTTTTTGTATCGATGAATCTATAGATCTCTCTAGTGTGAGGATTGTCGTGTCATCAGTAAACATTGTTAGTTGGGAGTTGGAAGGATTGGGAATATTGTAACAGTAGATATTGAAGAAGGGTTAACCTTAAGACTGATCCTTGGGGACACCAGATTTTATTTTGTGTCGTAGAGATAGATCTATATCTATTCTGACTTGGAACATTATGTATGATGTGATAACCTGTGTGTTAGATCCAGGATAACTGCTGTTGTATATTCTTTATTTCCAAACCTGTGTACTATTATTTTCAATATACGATGTATCTGGTGGCATGTAGAATGTTGTGTTTTGAAATCAAATTAGTATTTGGGGATTATGTGTAAGTAGGATTTTATCCTTTTTAATAGGATCCTTATATATAGTTTAGATATCGATGGTAAAACGATGATAGGTCTGTAGCTTATGAGAGAGTTGGCTGGCTTTCCAGATTTATAAATGGAGGCTATTATTCCATATTGAGGAATAAGTGCCGATACACATGGTTGAGTTAAATAGAGAGGCTAAGTATGATAAGTAGGTTTTTAAGGATTTTATTTGTTATTAAGTCATGGGCCATAGCCAGGTCTTTTTTTGTTTGCTAGTTTAAATATAATTAATCTTATTTCACTAGGGGATGTTGGGGGTGATACTGGTATTTTGTTTGTTTTTATTTGTTGCTTCTGGGATTTATATTCATTATTTTGTGTTGTATAGGTGGGTTTTAATTTACCTTAATTATGTCTGCACATGAGGTCCAATTTGACATTTCTTTTCTGGTAAGTTTGTAGTATCATATTTAGTTGAGTTATAAGTTTTTCCTCAGTGTATTTTTGGGTTTCGTTAGTTTTTTTATTTTGGATATTTTTAAAATATGTACATCCTTTATAATAAGCCAGGTGTGTATTGTTGCAGTTAAACATATTAATGATAATCAAATACAAACAGTTTAAGAAGGCACAGTAGGTTAGGATAAATTTAATTTTTATCTGAGATTAAAAAGCTAGATTATCAAAACTTGTTAAGACTTGACTGAAAAATTATATAGTCAATCATCGGTTATTATGAACTTCTGTAACATATTTAGGTTGAACAGTGAGTCTTAATTTTTTTTAGTTCTATGCAAACTGTTGTTGACTCCTAAGTATGTGGATCCATTGTCTGTATATTACGTCATTAGTGTAATACATCTTGCATAATCCACACTGTATCATAAAAATTATTGATCATATATATGGGTTTGGGATTGCATTTGAATATTTTGAATGTAACCCAAATTATACAATGTTTATACTTAATTTATAATAGATAAAAAAAGAAATGAATAATATATTACATATTAGTTATATTGAAGAATAATTATTTCTTATTGTTCTTTGCTGAATATATTAATTATACTCTGTCTATTAAGGGAGTAAGAGTGCAAAGCAATTGAAACTGATTTTACTTATTAGAACGTAGCAAGTTTTTATCTATCAATACTATAGATATACTCGTATTGTCAGTTGTATTTGTATGTATATCACTCTTATTCTCTCAGCGGAATATTTTCATTTATACCCTTAAATTTACATTTTTTATCAATTATTTTCATATATATCTACTAATTAGGTTTTTAAGTATGGTAACAATTAAATAATTGTCATAATCAATAATTATACCATTAGATTCAAATTTATTCCTGACATTGATTCTCTAGTCTTTTGACTTTTAAAAGAGGTGAATTTTGAGAATCACTTTATAGCCCTAAGTTTTTGTTTTACAATTTGGTCCTTATAATGATATTTAAAGATTAGGAATATTCTATAAAATAATAAAGTATTCATGTTTAAAGTTATGTCCAATGTAAAACCTGTAATGATATTAATTTATCTCATATTTTTAAGGCATTGCAGAAGACAAGGATTCAAGTGGCGATACTCCTATATGTCTGTTTTCGGTAACATAATTAATATTAATTAACGATAAAACGTTGTTTGATCGAACACAAACTTATTTGACACTTTAAAATATTTTTTTAATCTGTATTAAAACTGCGGTCTATCTAATTGTCTTATAAAATATCATTTTAACTTTCAATATTTTAGCGGTCATGGTTAGGATTTCACTGATGTTTGATAAAGTACTTTATTATTTACGATTTTGATCATATAATAGTGATAATTTGATAGTAAAAACTAAAAATATTAACTAGTTGACATATGATACTGTCACTGTCATAGTGGCGTAATTCAAAATATTTTGTGGTTGCAGGGGAGGTATCAAAAAATATTTCAAGGCAGATCTGTGGGGGCAAAGCCCCCACACCACCCTTTTAATATATAATTCATAACTCTTCCCTAGCGCCCGGATTTTAATGCTCTAAAAAAAGCTTAAAATGCATTTTACCAACAAAAAAATGCCCTTAAAAATTAATTTAAACATTTTTATTAAATTATTGTTTTATTGGTAATTTAGGATATTTTAATTTTATTAAAAAAAAAAAACTGAAAATAGAAAAATTTGAATTGCGAATAGCGTTGATGGATTGGGCAATAATAAAATATGTTCTATAAATGACAAAATATTGAAATATGCTAAAAAATAAAAATTCACTTTTGAAGTCTTTAAGTTAGGTACATGAATCCGGTGTAAAAGTTGTGGCCCAATCCCTAAAGAACGTACAATTTGTGGCCTTAGTTTATGAGAGGTACGTACGAATTGCGGCCATACATTTATAAGTCATTTATAATTAATCATTTATTTTACTAATTAATTATATTAATAAATTAGAATGTGAAATTTTAATAGCATCCACTAATATACATAATATAGTCGACTCTCAATAATTCGAAGTTAGCGGGATTTGAAAAATTTTAATTACTGAGAGTTAAGAAAAAAAGTTTTTTTATTATTGTACATACATAATTATTAATTATTTCAACAAATTAGATGGTATTCGTATTATAGTTATATATTATTTTTAAATTGTAAATTAAGCTATGTACATGTACTATATAAATTAAATTATTATTATTAGCCGACGATTAAGAAATTAAGTGCTTACGATAAATATTTATGGTTATCGAAAATGATAGGCTAAATTAATACCGATAAAAGAATTATGAGAAATACATTTGGTAAATATACTTCAAATTACCGAACGTTGAACCGATGAAACTTTGAATTGTCACCTTTCAGTGGCCAGTTTTTCCAAAATTTAATTTCGAATTACCAAGTGTACTTATAAGTGATTAGTTTTTGTTTAAAAAACCGCGAGGTTTTCTAAAAAACAAGTATTTACTTTAAATTGCCGAAAGTTTCGAATTATTGAAGGTTTTAATTATAGAGAGTCGACTGTAGTTTGTAGTAGTATTTACTCCTATTTTTTTTAGGTTGGCTGAAAATTACCCAAGATTGATTGCTCCCTTTTCTTTTTGTATACCTATATATTATGGATCCGAACGTGCTCGGCAATGACTTAAGTAATTCCTTAATCATTACATAACGATCAAAAAGATTGTGTAATTGGTAATTACTTATTAATTATGAAATTTTACACAATTAACGGTAAAATTGACTACTTATTTGATTTTTAAAAATGTAGCTTGACAAAAATAAATTATTTTGCATAGTTACGTATAACAAACACTAACTTTTGTTTGGTTTTTATAGCGTGTTCAGTAA